ATCTGGCAAACAGCAATAATAAAATGTTGCCTATGAGAACAGATGTATTATTTAATTTAAAATAATTCTAGAAAGAATGAAAATATGTATACATACAGCCAATTTTCATTATTCACAGATTCCATATATGTGAAGTCACCCACTCCCTAAAGTTTATTTGCAAGGCCCGAATCAGTACTCAGGGCACTTTCATGGTCATTCATGGTGATGCACAGAGCAGTGAAAAATCTGAGTTGCCGGCCGCACCTGTTCCCAGATGAGGTTGAACAAGGCAATGCTCTGTCTCCTTGTTTCAGCTTATTCTGTAAACAAGTTTCCTTTTGCTGACTATTTAGTTCCATGTTTTTCTCACTTTTGTGTTTTCTGTTGGTGATTTTGCTGCTTAAAATGGCCCCCAAGCCTAGTGCTGAAGTGCTGTCTAGTGTTCCTAAGACAGTGATGTGACTTATGGAGAACATCTGTGTGTTAGATAAGCTCCGATCAGGCATGAGTTATAGTGCTGTCGGCTGTGAGTTCAACATTGATGAATCAACGTGTATATTAAATTAGGTGTCTTTAAACAGAAACACTCATAAAACAAAGATATATATTTATTGGTTTACAAAAATGTGACCAGAGGCTCACAGGAACCAAACCTTGTATCTCTCCTGGGAGCAAAGGTACAAGATTAGCTATTTTTGTGTTTGGGGTGATTCATGAAACCTATATACCATGAAAAATGAGAACCGGCTGTATATGTATACACACGCACACACACAATTATTTTCAGAGTTCACCCACTTTTTTCATTGTTTTTTATTTCAGTTATTATACTTTTCAATCGCAGAATTTCTATTTGGTTCTTTTTAAGAAAAAAAAATATATATAGTTTTGAAACTCGATGAATGAATGTGGGGTGGGGGTTAGGAAAAAGGGAGGAATCAAACACACCTTCTATACTTTTGGCTCAAGCAACTGAGTGGAATTAGTGCCATTTACTGAGATAAGGGTGAGTGGTGGTGGATGACAGGTTTGGAAGTGAAATAAAGGAATCTGTTTCATGTGTCCAATTTGAGACTCCAAGTGGAAGTTTGGAGTAAGAAGTTGAACTTATGACTTGGCAGTTCAATAGAGGGATCAAAGGAGGTGAAGTATAATTGGCACTCATTAACATATTGATGGAATTTATAGCTACCAGACTGGATGTAATCCCTAGGGATGAAATCTCTGGTACATGCCAACATGTAGATATCAGGAAGCCATGAAGGGACCATCACCACCAATAGAACCACCACTATCGACACTATCATCAACATCACCACCAAATGACCAGGAAGGAGCTATTAGCAAGTAGGAGACCGTGATGCTCCAGAAGACAAGAGAGTGCATCAGGTTCTCCCAGCTTACTCACCTGATCACAGTGATGCCAAGGCTTGCCAGGTGTTATGAAGCAAGAGGCAACCAATGACCTCCCAGTCAGAAAGACCATGATCAGGCCACCCTCTGATAAGCTGCACCAGCTTCATCCTCTTGACTGGAGAAACCAGCTTGTTAGGGACAGATCCCTTCAGGTCTAATGCCCAGGCTCCTGGGAAGATGTTTGCCTCCCCATGCACACTGCTCTCCACACCTGCTGCCTACGCCTGCCTCACCCATGAGGTCAGCAGAGCAGCTCATCTATGGTCAATCTGTATAGTCCTCTTGGGAGCCTGTGGTGTAGAGGCAGCCTCACCCTCACAATGAGATCTACAGAGGATCCTCATTAGCCAACAACATCGATTACTACATCACTATCCATGACAAAGAACTAACTACGAAAAATTACCAACCTTCTAATTGTAGTTTGCTGACATTTCTTTATCCCTCCCTTTATTTTAATGTCTTTTTTTGGCTTTAAGTATCCCATCATATATTTGGATTAAACTTTTCACAAACTGCTAGAATTAATTTATTCATTTAAGTTACTATCCAACACATTCTTGGATGCATCAGTATGCAGAAGCTTAACTATTTCTAATGCAGACTCTCTTCTTACCTGCCACACAGCAGGAGGAAGGAATTCCTTTGATGCTAGGAACTTTAACCTGGAGCAAGGACAGATGGAGGAGGAAATCATTCCAAGTGTTTGGGGTATGACACTGGTCTAACCTTGCGGAATTAATACTTTTCTCTTTCATCATGTTGGAAAAATACGGAGGTTCCCACGTTGCATTTAGCATGTAAGGTTGCTAGATTGTGGGGCTGTGTCAACAAGTATATGTGTCACTGGGAACCATTGTTGTGACCGGACCCTGGGCTATGTTGCAAATGAGACCCTTGACTCTTTGCCTCTGGGTGAAACTCAGAGTTTTTAAGAAAGGGAAGCTCTGGGTTCACTTCTTTCTTCTCTGGAAGCAGGGGTCACTGTGAATTATCCTGCCACATTATAGGATGAGCTATGGGAACTTCATCTGCAGCCAACAGAATTCTATCCAGTCTTTAGCATGAGCACAAGCTTGGCCTAAGTCTTTCAAAATCTTGGCCTCTCTGCTAAAGCCTTCTATACCTCTGTTTTGTGGGATATCCCAAATCTGTTTTTCCCTTCCATTATGCTACGCCATTATGCTATGCCAGTAATGATGCTCAGTTTTGAAGTCTGTTTGTATGTCTTCACCCAAAATGGGTACCATGAAGGAAGACTGGGTTTTAGCAGTCATTAGTATAGATGTGGTCTGATTTTCCAGGAAAGAGAAGTTATAGAAGTTTGAGAGTGTGAAATGGGTAAATCGAGCCGTGAAAATTGAAGTGGGATGAGGCCCATAGGATGAGGTCTGGTAAATAGAACGTGTATAAAGAAGAGTCCTCAGTATTTGGAGATCAAAGAAAAAACTGTAGAAAGTATTTTAATGATACTGGTAATAATATTTAGCTTATAAGTAGTAATGCTTATTAAATATAAGATATAGTTTAAAAAAATATATCGTAAACATCCTCACATAAATGCTGAACAAATCATTCACGTTATGTATTTAGGTGAAGGCAAGAAAGGAAATTTGAAAAAAAATGATAAAGATCACAAGCTGATTCAGATTTAGCAACAAGATGGGAGGCTGAAGTAGAAAAATTTATATACATCTTATTTTACTATTTTTAAAATACTTTCCAGGTCCTTTTTTCTCTGTTTCTGCCAACACAATCCAACTCTATGGGCCTGCGTTTCTTACGAGGCTAACTAATCAAATTCCAGAGACCATATTTTTAAAATGTGAGTCTTCATAACTAACAGAATTACAGAAAAAGGAGGGAAAGTCCCCTCAAGCCATAGCTGTAGAAGGAGAGAGAGCAGAGTTTGCACCACAAAACTAACACAAAGAATTGATTTGACAGCATTAAATTGAGAAATTTCATAAGAAGATAAGTCTTATAAAATATGGAGATGTGTCTGTTTGTAACCATTACCAATTTGTTCTGTTCTCTGTAATATAACCTTGTCCTTGAAAGAGTTATTTGAAGGGATCTTGTAATAACCTCCTCATTTGAAATTATTGCCATTTCTTATGAAGACAATTTCTTCAGAAACTTAATTCTGATTGATTGTCTTGATCATTTGGGGGCCTGGCCATAATATTTTAAGTGAACATTTGGATCCTTAAACTATATAGATGCTTGTAAGATTTTATATTGAATCAGAAGATCCTTGGCATTCTGATTTCCTCATATGCAAGTGGATAATAAAATGACCATAGATTTCCTATTTAAATAAAGATTTTGAGAGTCTTGTCTCACTTAAATTTATTCCAGCTATTTTGTAATGGGAAAAAAAGATATTCATAGAGGGAAGCAAATGGCTTCGGCATATAAATTTTTTTAAGGTGTATGAAAATTCTTAGTAGAAGAACACTAAATAAGATGTGAATAAATGGGTATAAGTCTTTGTTCTCCCCAAATTAATCTGTAACTTCAACATATTTCTACTTAGAACTTCCAATGGACTTGGGAAGGGAGTGGAGGAATCTTCTTGAGTTAATTTTAAAATTCACCCCCAGTGAATCATCAGTCTGGTGCTACTTCTGAGCTCTCCTTTATCTTCGGCAATTTTCTTGTAAAAGAAAAACTAATATATAGACAAGCAAAGACACTGTGTGATCAAAGTGGTGATTGAAATCATAATGTAATAGTGTAAGGAATATTTTTAAAATTCTCACCTCACATATACACAAAGAGGTAAAACTCACAGGGGTTTGGTTGTAAATATTAAAAATGATAAGGTACTTCAAATATTCTAGAATCAAATATAGAACAATATTTTAAAAATCTTCAGCTAGAAGCTGTTGTAAATATGATAGGAAACCAAAGAACTAGAGAGAAAAAAGCTAACAAATTTGATTCTTAAAAATGTATAACTTCTCTAGGACAAAATATTCCATTAACAAACCTAAAAGAAAAATAACAAATGGGACAAAATGTTAGGAACATATAGAATCAAGATTTAATGTACATGTATATCATATAAAGATTTCTATATTCATTCAGCTTGGTAAGAAAAATACAAACACCACAACATGACTGAGCATTCTGTGACAGAGTTCTATGAAGAAGAAAAACAAATGACCAATAACAAGTGGAAAATACTCAACCACACTAAAAATGAAAATAGTGCATGTTAAAGCATCCCTTAAAAAGACTTTTTGTAGTTCAATTTAAAATGTTAAATATTTTAATTTTCTAGGTATGATATAATAATTTTAAGAGGGAAAGTATGCATAGAATTATCCTATTTAGATAAATAAAACTACATTGCAAAATGTGTTAACACATGCATCGAAAAATTCTGGAAAGATATATAACAGTGTTTATAAGAAACATATTTTAAAATCAGCATAAAAAGCAATGTGAAGATATGAGCATTTTGAAAAAATAGTTACTTTAAAAGGCATTAAGTTTTTGTCTTATTAAAGGTATAGAAAACAATAATAAACTTAAGCATTAAAAAATAGTTGGTTTGTAACATGAAAATCGAGTAAATTCTTATGCACTCTTACTTCTTTTCTCACTGTGTTTTCCCAAAGTAGAATTGCTTCCAGTATCCGTGGTATCTAGAAAGTAACAGGTGGTGGTCAGAAACTAAAAATTTTGAAACTGTAAAAAACTGTAAAACTTTGAAAACTCTCTTCACTACTTATGTGTATCAGTTTCCTCATTTATGAAACAGGGATAACAACAGTTATGCTGCTCAGGTTTTAAATTTCTTATGAAGATTAAATGAGATCTTAGTTGCAAAAGCTAATGAGAAATCACTGTATAAATCAGTAACATGCTAGAGAGCATCCTTCAAAACTATATGGTGAGTTCATGAATAGTTGTCTGAGGTCTTTTATTCCTGTCAGGGCAAAGGACCATTTATTTGTCTTTTGAGGCCTTTCCAAGGTTGTGACAAAGTGACACTATGATCTACCAGCAGAAGAGCACTTTTATTTCTTTGCTCCATGGTACTGCCATTTTTACCAGTGTATTTCAATGACATCATTCATGTATAATCAACAGGACCCATTCTGTTAAACAGAATTCTTTTCTCCCTGAAGTTCCCCAATGGGTCAGTTCAAGCAAATGAAGACGGGAATGGGATTCTGACATGGACTGGATGTACTCCTTGTCAAAGTATGTTTAGAGTCAAGTGCATCAGGAACTGGAGCTCTGATTTCAGACTCCTGACATCCTGCAGCACAGGCCCTGTGACCTTCACCTTCCATAACTGGCCCACCCCCTGCTGTGAGCTGGTAGGAGTTCTCCTTGAACACCGATCACTCACCACAGCTCCCCCAGGGTCTGTGGTGTCTGCTGAACCACCTCTACCCTGACCTTGGGTGTCCTTACCCATCATGTCAATGCTTGGCTACTTTCAGTCCTTGCTTCTTGGCTTCTAGACACACTTTTTGAAAAACACATGACACGGGAACATTTCTCAAGTCCTTGGAGCTCTTTTCCTAAGTTATGATTTGTAAAGAATTTTCATTTGCACCCCTCCCCTCACTTCTGACCAGCCACCTTTCACGGACTCCTACATCACAGGGTGACTCTACCTCTGAGGTCGCTTTCCCTTTTGTTGCTTCTCACTGTCCTTGTCCCTTCCTTTTAATCTGCCTTTTCTCTTTTCCTCTTTGCCCAAAATATGTATCTTTGTTTTTCTATTTTTTCTTTATATGCTTTTCCCATCCATCCATTAATGACGTTTTTATATACATTTGTACTTACTTTTATGTGACATTATTCTTTTCCAGAAATATTATTTATTACATTTATATGTATATACATAATTCAACTATTAAAATAATTTTTATAGATATTCTCATATAAATACTATAAGAAACTAATTTTTACCAGACAAATTCCAAATGTTGGAATACAGAAAGTGGACTTTTTTTCTATTCACTCAACAAGTGTGCTGAGCATCTTTCATGTACCAGGTGCTGAGGTGAGTGATGATGACGCATGAAGAGTGTATGCTTGTCAATCTTATGAGCAACCAGGGGACTGACACTTAATGAGTGAGTACATTGAAACATGGAGAATGTTAGGACACAGATTGTACAGGATACTCTGGGGATGCAGAAGAGGCAGGAGGAACTCGCAGAGTTTGAGATGAGGGACCTCTTCTGGAGGAGGTATCGTGGAAGCGGTAGTTAACCAGATTAGGGAGAAAGGTGACTAAGATGATAGTCCCAAATGGATGGAGAAACATGTGCAAAGGTCTGGATTCAGCAAATAGAAGTAACCAAAAGGAGTTTAGTATGTCTGAACATAGAGTGAGAGAATGAGAGGGAATGGTGAGAATGGAGAAAGAAGCAGGAGCCTCAGGTACGGAGCTTTGGAGATCACATGAAGAAGAATTAACTTATTCCTAAAGAAAATTAAATGATATTTGGCTATTATGTAGGAAATCAGCATGAACATAATTGCATTTTTGAAAGATCAATTTAGCTAAATCACTTAGAGTGTGTTTGGTGGGAACAGGATGAGAAGGAGGACAAATAAGGAGCCTGCAGACCTAGTTCAAGTGAGAAGTGGTAGAGACATGGACGAGAGTGCTGGCATGGAGATGGAAATAAATGGACAGGGTGGAGATATATAAAAGGAATAATTGATAGAGTTAGGTGACAGATGGGGTACATCAGTTGAGGAGATGGCTGTGTCATGGATGACTCTTGAGAATTTCAACTTGAAAGAATGAGTCAGTTAATAAGTGGTTTAGAGATAGCAAACACTGGAGGAGTAGATGCTTTCTTTAGGGGGCAAGATGATGTGCTCAGTTCTAAAAGTGTTGAGTCTGAGAGACATCTAAGTGGAGAAGTCTAGAACCTTCAGGACCTTAGCCAGAGGCCTTTCTGACACTTGGATAATTGAGTTTGGAAGCTTAGAAGGCAGAGCTGGGCTGGAAATGTGTGTTTAGGAACCATTAGATTGTAGACAGTGATTGAAACCGTAAGAGTACATGAAACCCCTTTGGTGAGGTACCTTGTAATCTGGGTGAGTTACAGGAGCCACTTTGATACCTGGGGACACCTTACCCTGAAAACTCTCCGCTAGTGTGAACCACCCCTTGTGCCAATGTTGCTTCTTTCTCATGGTCATCTCAGATCCCACAATTTCTCCATCTCTCTTTCTTTCTTTGACACTGCCCCTTTCTCTCTCTACCATTTTTCTCTCATCTTTTAACCCTTTATCTATGCAGTTATCTCTGTGCCTCACCTTTATTGTTCTCCATTGATTGCTTCCTGTATGTATCTCATTTTGTCTAGTTTTTTATGCTTCTGTCTCTGGATTTAGTTTTACTGTTGAAGTAATCCTCTTGATATTGTCACATCACTTTCTGTTTTCTCTTCGCTTCAGTTTGTTTCTCTTAATCTTATCTTGATCTTTTGGCTTAAAAAAATTACAATCTTTGTGTTTATCTATATTTTCTTCAACCATATTTGGCTTCGTCTCACAGTTTACCACTTTCATTGTCACCATCTGCCTGCTCTTTTGACACTGACCACACTATTGACTATTATTACTTCTGCCAGTTCTCTATGAGCTTTCACAGGACTGTGCGTCAGTCACAGAATTTATTATCATGTTTCTGGTGAACTTCCTAGAGGTATCTTGAAAATTATCCATCTTCCTCTACAAAACTTCCCAATCTCATGATATTTGGATCTCACGTCCACTTAGAAAAACTTGACGCTTACTCAGATATCTTTTAATTTGAAGAAACTTACTCAGATATCTTTTCAGCCTAATTTTTCAATTATTTCTCCTTGCATTATCCACTTAGTGTCACCTCCCTCCACCCAGAAGCTGAGCTCTTCCTTCTCTTTTGGCTCCTTCGAACCTGTTGAAAACAGCCCAAATCTGTGCTCAGGCCTGTCTGTATATGAGTATGTGTATTGGTGTGTGCATGTATGGCAATGTTTTGGGGGAGAGATAGGTAAAGAAGGAAGAGCTTTTCCTGTGTGCAGACAGTAAAACAAAGATAACTGAGAACTAGTATCACAATTGGCTTTTCTACAGCATGCTAATAGATGGGCAGCTCTTCTGAGTCTCTTCCTCTATTTATTTTTAGAGCTTTGAATCCACAGGACATTGAAGGGAAATAAGGAAACAGCAGACTGTAGACGGCGACCAGGAAACAGACTTTGATGTGGTCATGCTGATCTATGTTCGGAGCTCAGATGGGCTGAAGAAAAATACACCTGTCCAATGACTATACCTCACATCCAACAGAGATTTTCTCTGTCTCTTTCAATCTAGCCACACCTTCTCCTCCTCCTTTTCTTCAATTTTCTGCCCATCTGTGAACTTCGCTGTCCCTGATTTCTCTTAACTTCTGTGTTGATTTCTCTCATTTCATCAGTTATACTCTTAATATCTGTTCCTTTTTATTTCTCTGTTCATCCTTTTTGGCATTATCCTTCTAGGTGTTCTGTATATCATACAACTGGTTCCATTCCTACCCTCTCTGTTTCTTTATGGTTTTTGCTTTTTCCCTCTCAATCTGAATATATATTTCAAAATCCACACCAATACTGGTGGTTATATACCCACCAATATATATACATATATATGTACATATGTGTGTATATGTATACACACACACACACACACATATATATATATATATACATATGTATTTATTATTGTTGCTAAATAAGTCTTCTTGCATCAGGCACTGATACATTCCCCTGTGAATATGCCAGGTCCCTCGTATCCCCTCTTTGGACTCTGATCACGTGACACAGCTCTTATCTTCCTGCCCGTTACATAAAATAGTCACCCTTTTTTACCCTTATACATTTGTACATCTATTTCCTCATCCTAAAATGAGGAAGCAAGAGTTAGCCTTTCTAAGTCTTAAAGATTTTGTGATAACAGAGTAAGATCTCATTTGCCAAAGGAATTTAAAATATCATGGTACAATCCAATTACAATGTGATGAATATCTGTCACAGACTATACTAAAGTTTGAGAATGGTTGATCTGAAGCTTTTATTTCTGTCTATAATTACACAGCAGGACCAGTTGTCTTTTGAGGCTTTTACGATTACAAATGACGTTAATGTCAACCAGTATATCACTATAGAAATCTAGGATCTTAGTGTTAGCAGGCATGACAGTACGTGTTTAAAAAGAGGCCATCATTTTGGTGATTATTTCTGCTGAAATAGGAATATAAAATTACATACATTTAGTGAATATGAGTCATTCTATTAAACATGAATTTATAATAATTTCCTGCCTCTTTCCATTTTCTAAAATCCGAAAAGTAGTTCCCAGGATTAACTGGATACAAGGTAGTCAAGGTCTCAGAATAAAATGCACCAGGAAACAGTGTCTTTTCATTCCTGACATTCTGCAGGCCAAGGCTTGGCATCCTAATCTTCTTTACCTGACCCATTTCTTAGGACTGAGCTAGACGTTTCCTGAGGCTCATCTTCGTTACTCAATTCTGAAGTGTCACCACTGCTGATCCCTGCAGAAAGAAGTAAAATTCCTTTACAGTCTCAGCCTGTGACCTAGGACCTATACAGCATGGAGTTCTTTAAAAGGAAATCTGGAAAGGGGAAAGCTTATGTAGAACAGATAGGAATATTCCTACCACCAGGTCCCCTAGAGCTCCGTCTGACCTCCTGGTCAAGGTTGCTCCAGGGACCACCCCCAAGGCCGACACTGGACACAACTTTGCCATGGAAGGCACTCACTTTGGTCACTACCCTTTACCCTTTCCTCTTGTCTGCACATACTTCTGCTTCCACTTTGTTTCTTACCCAGGGGGACCGTGGAAGCAACATTTTCAAGATGTCAGAGCCTCCATCAGCTGGGCCCTCAGTTGAGCACCCCTCCACCCTGGGAACCACTTTATCCTTTTATGTGAGTGAAGAATAAACCTGTACTGCACTTGTGACACTGAACTTATTGAGGCCTACAAGTAACATCAATTAGCCCAGCTCACCTAATTCACCATGTATAATGTGAATCATCTAAAATGCCAACAAATTTATCATTTTATTTGAAAGGATATTACCAAAAATTTGAATGAAGCTTTTATAGCAAAGAAAGATATTTGTTATAGCAAGAGTTTTGATTGTTCTTACGTCTTTTCCTATTGCTTATGCTGCAAATTGATGTGTTTTCAATATCCCAAGGATCTAGGAAGGAAAGAAAAATACAACCAGTAATCTATATCTAAAAGAGTAGTAAATCTTATGACTACTCACATTGTAGACAGGATTTGGACTATAAAGACACAATGATGATCATTTCTGTCTCTTCCTGTCTAAAGGAAAGTGAGCACTCTACCAAATGGAGCAAAGCCCCCCCACCCCAGTCCTTTAGCCCTAATTGCAAAGTCAAAAAAGTTTTGAAAACCAATATTTTTTCATAGGTTTGTACTAACTAGTTTGGCAATGAATCTGGACCTCAGCTGCCATGAGTCCAATAAAATATTTATCACAGTTGTTGTGAATTCACACAATTTGCTGCAGGAACACTAATACAGTATATTTGAGAACGAGATTCTGTCCCAGACCCTACTGGAGTGTTTTATAACAAATAGGATATACACCACACTGTGTTTCTAAAATAATAAAACATTATATCTTACATCTGGCTTTAAAGATTTTGAATAAACGATTATGAATATTTGCTAAGAGTCCAGGTTGTTAGTTCTGACTCTTCCAATAATTGTCCATATGTGATGTGTAAAGATCCTTAAATGTTTATGTGCTGGAGTTTGCTCATCTGTGAAATGAGGGAACAACAGTTTTCTGACCTACATTTTAGGTTGTTGTAAACATAAAATGATACCTTATTTGTGAAGATGTTTTCAAATATCACTATACAGGCCAATGTCATGTTGCAGGTAATGCTGGGTTCCTACCTGGCTCTGTCTTTTACTCTCCATGTGAGTTCATAAAAGACCCTCAAACATTACCAACTCCAGTTTCCTTATCTATAAACCTGGGATAACCTGGTTACCCTAACTCCCTGTTAAGGTTTTTGTAAAAGCAAAGGGAAGCTTTATTTATAAAAACCCTATGAGGAATCACCATGTAGGCCAATGATTTAGCTATAATTGGGGTTTGAGGGTATTTGGTCTTAAGCTATTTTTCCATCAATAATTTAATAGAAGCATAAATTATTCTGTGAAGTCTTTCTAAGTTGGGGACTAATGACAATATTAACAACAAATAGAGGAATGCTGTGCTTAGTATGCTCCATAGAATAAAAGCATGCTGAGGAATAAGTACACTATTTCCATTCTTTAGCACTAATAGATACGATAGTGTATAGTAAAAGGTATAATTTTACTAGCATATTTTTGCTACATCTTCAATATATCAATTGACTGGGCTCATCCAGTTAAACAACAGTTTATATACAATGCCTTCTTGCCTCCTTCCACTTCCCAACAGGGCCAGAAAAGTTAAATGTGGAAAATGATATCCTAGACGGAATCAAATCAAGGCATGTGGAGAATGCTCAGAATAAGATTCATCAGGAAAACAGAGCTCTTGGATTTACACTCGGGATATTTGCTGTCCATGGCTGCAATCTTTATCTTCCTACATGAGCCATCTGGGATCATGAGCAGGTGGCTTCTCTGGCCCCTCCTCCCTCACTTGATTCTAAAAAGTCAAGGTTATGGGTCACTGCACAAAGGAACAGGATTCTCGAGGGTTTTGGGCATGTGACCAAGGAACCCATTCAGC